AAGGATCCCCACAAAGCTAAGAGAAAGTATGGAATGATTAAGTGTGGTAAATGTAGACAACTTGGCCATAATAAAAGGTCTTGCAAAGAGAATCAACAGGTATGAGTTTTATAGCTAATCCATTCATACTTTGCACTGTTCATATGTCACACTATTTTTCTTGGCAGGAGTTAACACGAGGAACATAATTACATTGTTCGTATGTCATTCTGTTTTTCTTGACAGGAATTAACTTGAGGATGTTCAGTTTTAATAAAAGAAGAAGAAGAAGAAGAAGAAGAAATCTTTGGCAAGATAAGGACAAACAAGTGATTCTGGTAAAGATGACAACATACAGTAGCAGAAGAGATGTTTCATTTTGATCTTTGCTGTGATTAGCACATCTTAAAGGACTACTTCATTTATAGCGCACTAATTTCATTTTAATCTTTTTAAGACAAATTCCTTGAACTACTTACTAAGATGGAGTGTTTCAGTTTTTTAAAGGTATTTGTTTGAATTAAAAATTTCATTTATACCGATTCATTTGACATTTCATTTATAATGTTTGAATTTATATCATTTTTGTGTGTCCTTTTAATGATGCAGCCTCTTTATACAATGTTTTTCCTATAAGTAAATAAGCCTATTACCAGTGTACCGATTGATTAAGCAGTTATGAAATTGATAGTGCGAAGTGGATCACTTGGAAGATGTACTTTGTACTATCATATTCACTTGCCTCATCATCATTGAATGTTTTGAATGATTGGAAACCTGCAAAACAAAGTGAATTTTTTTACAAGCTGTGTACCGGTACAAAGCTTTATACCAAGAATCACAATATTGATTAACCTCCCAAGCAATACAAAAGAAAACAGATAGAAAAGCATACATGTATACATTTGATGTTAATCAAATCAACTTTACTGAGACAGAGCATGTCTTCAAAACAAAGCCATATTAATAAGAACTATAGCAAAATTTAACACTGCTAGGATCTCTGCAAATTCATACTTCCATTTAAAAAAAAATAGTACAATATGTTGATAAGCTTACTGGAGAACAAAAGATAAAAACTTGATCCGGCTACTATTCACTTAGACTTCAGACCTACCATAAAATTTAACAAATTGTAACCATAAAAGAGAAGTTGGGTAAACATCAATTTTAATACATAAACACTGCCATACACATCATCACTTTTTGAAAAAGAAGTAAAAGTATTCTGCGAAGCCAAACTATAAGTATGAATCGTGATAGCTACCAACAAAATGTACTGGGTGATTCTTTACTTCTGTGCACTTTGGTTCTGCTACACTCTAGCCATCAAATGTAGCAATAGTATAAGCCGGCTAAGCTTGACAACTTCTCTAATAAATATATGCTTTTTATGTACCTGTTTGCTAAATCCTCTTTTTGGTTAATCATTAAAAAATAAGAGAGGAAAAGCTTTTACTACTAAAAATGATGTATGTGCTTTAGTAAAAATTCAAAGTACTCTACTAAAAAGTAAAAACCAGTCTCATTAGATCAAGATAAAGCTAAATGAAAGTAAGAAAGGTAGAATCCATATAATTCAAAGTTTAGGACAACTAAATTTTGTTGAACATACAAAAATCTAATTTCAAAAATAAATAGAAGGAACACACAAAAAGAAAAAGAAAGAACACACAAAATTGTATGAAGTTGTAATCCACCAAATCCCACTAATAAAGACGCCCACTTATAATGAACATTTAATTTTTTAACTGTAATTTGGTTTACTCATATTGAAAATATAGTCGGTTACCTTGACTAATTTCAATAAAATTGGATCTTAAATTGGATCTTCTTTATTACTTAATAGCACCAAGGACTAGAAATTTGAAATCTCATATCCATTACAAAGATTCTTGCACTACATTTCTGATGCAAATGACCGAGAGATGATATAGCACATATTTTCCCTCAAAGAAACAATTGAGAGACTTTACGTATTGAAACTAATTTATCAACTACGTGACCTAACTTTGAAAAAAAACAAAGTTAATTAAAAAGTATATGTCGTCATACCGACTCGATCTCCTTTTGCCGTTTTGCAGTTAAAATTTATCAGCACACGAAGCTTTTATCCAGGTGGGTTCTCTGCTCACTATGAGCTAACATGCGGGTGTCGAGGAAGACAGAGCTATGGTGATTGAGCGTTGAAGATGAAGAGGTGTGGTCAGTGAGGTAAGATGAATCGATGGTGTTTCTGGCTGTGGCTGAAATGTAAGGAAGATACTCCGTCATTTAGGAACTTTACTTGCGTTGAGGTGGAATAGAAGAGCGGTGATTCGGACGTATGATGTGGCAATTTTATTTACGTTTTTTAATGGATCTAGTGCCACATCACATTTTCGGTACCAGAATGTTAACGGTGTTAAAATTTCGAGCATTATATTGATAGAATGTAATAATATAGGCCCCTAATTGATAGAGTTTATCTTTCGGGTCCCTAATTGATAGAACGCTCATCTTTGAGGTCTTGGACTGATAAAATTCCTAAAAATTATTCATAATTCTGCATATTAACCCAATTCCATTCAGCACATTCAATCAAAGTTTAATCAATTTCAGCAAGTTTAGTCAATTCATCCATTTTATTATTTTCAATTAGGCACTTGGTGTTTGTGGGTTAAAAAAATGTGATGGCACGTAAAATGACATTATTTTAAATATTTATAAAAGAAATTAAAAAGTATTACCTCCGTCCCAGAAAATTATTCTCACTTTCCATTTTAAGATTTTCAAAAAAAATCATCTCATTTTCTTATTTTGAAGTTTTGTGTGACTAAATTCATTTATTTTTTCTTACTCAGATCAACCCCACAAATATACATTTTTATTCGTCGTCTTTATTTTAGTTCATAAATCAGAAATTGCCCTAAATAGGAGTAAAAACGTTTTGAAATTCCAAAATAGGAGTATCATGTTTTTTATTCCCTGAATAGGAGTAATCTGCCAAGTTTGAAAAAAATGTCATGTTAAAAGCATTGTAATGCCAAATTTGACAGAAATTTACTCCTATTCAGGGAATAAAAAACATGATACTCCTATTTTGGAATTTCAAAACGTTTTTACTCCTATTTAGGGAATTCTCTCTTTATATATTGAAGTAATAACATATTTATGAATTGTTTAAGAATATGATTAACTTATGTATATTTATTGTAGTAGTCATTTTGTTATAATAATTTTTGTTTAACTTTTACATTTAATTGGCCATTAAATAGTAACTTTATTGCCCGTTTGGAGGACTGAGAATTGGCTGTTTCTTATTATCAGATCAAAAAGTAAGTACTCCGTATTTAGTTACTTTTTCAGTTAAAATATAACACTCCTTCCATCCCGCAAATAGTTTCCGCTTTCCCTTTTTAGTAGTCCCAAAAGAAGTTCCTCTTTCCTTAAATGACAAGTTATCTACATCAAAACAGTGTCAAACAGTGCAAAATAGTGTCAAACAGTGCCAAACAGTGTTGAAACAATGTCAAAACAGTAAAATTTACCCCATAATAAGTTTATTTCCTTAATATGTGTAGGGGAAACCCGGAACTTCTTTGTGGGATGGAGGGAGTGTTCTACTATTAACATATTAAAAGACATTTTTATCCATGCTTTTTAATTCAAAAGGTCACCTCCGGAACCGAAGACCAAATCAGTTTTGGGGAGTAGTTCGTAACTTCGTACCGCATATAAGCATATTAGATTGAAGTACTGCCTTTCAACAAATATTCTACTTCCCATTAAAGTACGGGAAAATGGAAACTAATAATCCAACCTTTTAGCGGTCTTCTTACAATAGTCCCACATTTTCGTTATTCATGAATAATCCAACCTTTGCACCTCATCTCCATTCATTAGTCCCTGACCGGTTAATGACTTGTTATTCCAAGTAATTTTCTTATCTTTGCAAAATATTATCTTTGTGAAAGGTGGGATTTTTGGTATAATGGTTTGCAAAGATAAGAAAATAACTTGGAATAGCAGGTCATCAACCGGTCAGGGACCAATGAATGAAAATGAGATGCAAAGGTTGGATTATTCATGAATAACGAAAAGGTGGGACTATTGTAAGAAGATCGCTAAAAGGTTGGATTATTAGTTTCTATTTTCCCTTAAAGTACCCCATTTCCTTCAACAATTTTTTTACATAATTGGAATTTAAAACACTTGGACACATTATTCGTTGGTGTAATAATAACGTTTATGAATTACACATTCAATCAGTCACTTCAAAGAAAATAATACCTGTTGTTGTCACTACCAAACGGACCCTTAGTGAGTTATTAAAATAAATTGGGAAAAGGTCAGACCTTCGAACTTACATAAAAGGTTAAATAAGCCCTTATAAAGGATGATCTGTTTGACCATCGTCATTTGGGGTTGTTCCCGGTGGAAGTTTTGATGAGATTTTTTGAGCATCTTATTCATTAAGTCTAGTTTACTCATACAAAATTTCAGCTAAAACTTCAATTGGGAAGACATTCAAATGAATTCGTCAAGATAACTGCGCTTTTAGCTGCACAGTTATCTTCAAGAATTCATTTGAATGCCTTCCCGATTGAATTGTTAGCTGAAATTTGGTATGAGTAAATTAGACTTAATGAATAAGATGCTAAAAAAATCTCATAAAAACTCCACCGGGAACTGCCCCAAACGGCGACGACCTGACAGAGCCTCCTATATAAGAGCTTATTTGACCTTTTTATGTAAGTTCGATGGTCTATTTGACTTTTTTATGTAAGTTCGATGGTCTATTTGACTTTTTTATGTAAGTTCGATGGTCTATTTGACCCTTTTCCCAAATACATTTTATCACAATGATTTTTAAAAAACCTCTTTGTATATTCAACTCATTATTTCCTAAAATTAACCTGACAATTCGTAAAGGTTATCGTTAGCAAGACTGTTTTCCCTTCCCCATTTCACCAGAGTTCGATTCCCTTTCAGGTCGTATTTGTCGTGGTCTTAAATGCCCAACAACACCCATGGGCCATGGCCGCCACAGCTGAGCAAATTTAAGACTACTCTTCTTCATAAAACTCCCTCAACTCAAATCTCCCGGCCTATACATACACGATTATCTGACATTTTTTTCTTTTCTTAATACGGAGTAATCAAGAAGAGAAAAAATCCGCCACTTTCTTGAATTCTGCGCTCCACTTTCTCATTTTCCCTCTGTAGATCCACAGCCGTTACCCCAAACAAACATATTGCGGAAAAAAAGCAAAGAGAGAGCTTTTTCTTCTTTTCCCTTTTATCTAAAAAGAATCAGCTCAAAGTCTTTTGCTGATTAGTGCCCGATTTAAAGAAAAAGAGGTATCTTTTCATTGAATCTTGAAAGGCTTTTTACAGCAGCATGGGGAGCAAATGGAGGAAAGCAAAGCTGGCTCTTGGGTTGAATCTCTGCACATATGTTCCAAGAACAGACCTTGAAGACGACTTCGAAGAAAAGGGCTCCTTATCCTCCATCAAGGCGGCGGCGGCGGCGCTCTCCTCCACGGTAGTCGTCGGCGCCCTTCCATCTACAGCCACTCCTGTTTCGCACGGCTTGAAGCTTTCGAAAAGCTTGAGTAGATCTTCCAAGGTTGCCTCTTGTGCTATTTCTCCTTCTACAATCTTTTTAGAATGGTTTCTTTAATTAATATTAAATTGTTTGTGAAATTAGTAGGGTAACATGGGATATTTTTTTTGTACTTTCATTAGCCAATATTTTAATTAAGGTGGTTAGCAAGAGAGTGTAGGAAATGGATATAATGTGTGTAGATTTGGGTATTTTGTGGAATAAGGAAATTGGTGACAAACGAGGAGTTTTATTTCTTGCTTGTTTTTTATTAATTTTCTGTGGTAAGTGATTAGATATATTTGGTCTTTTTATTTGTGAAAACATCACACACAATTATTTGATCACTATGAATCACCAGCTAGTTGTCCTTTTCTCATATTTACTGCTATAGGGGAATTATATTGTTTGTTATTTCTTCACTATATATGCATATCATTTTCCTGCATTTCTTGTGTTTGAGTATAAGTTAAGAAGGTTTTTGCTCTGAGAAAAATATGTTCGTTTGAAGTACCATTATTAATTAACTTAAAACAATTTTAAGTAACTTTGGTAATATCTCTATTACGGCATCAACTTTACTTTTGTGTTCCATATTGAAAGCGCGGTTCCGTTAATTTCCTAGATTTGGTTTTATATTAGGTAAGAGCTGGCCTGCACAACTTTCGTTTTTACATGTATTAATAACTCTAGAAAGAAAAGGGAAAAACCATTTCCAGGATATGCCCTGCATTGTTATGAACCCGTTAAAGTTTTATTATTTCTTTGAGTCAATAATGTGATGCTTTGGTTGAAATTTTTAATCCGTTCTCCTATCTTGTACTAGTATTGTTTAGACTTTTTTTCCTGATTCAGTATTTTAAAATTCCCTTTTTTACTGTTCTGTGCTAGTATACAAATATACAATAACCAACTACACAAAGAGCCTGAAATGATTTCCTTATTGGTGTTTTTATATTTTGATTCTTTTTCAGAAGATATGTTCAATATGTTTGGCTACAATGAGGCGGGGGGATGGTCACGCTATCTTCACTGCTGAGTGTTCTCATTCCTTTCACTTCCAATGCATTGCTTCTAATGCAAGACACGGAAACTTACTTTGCCCAATTTGTAGAGCAAAATGGAAAGAGATTCCCTTGCAACTTCCTAGTTTGGATCATCCTACTCCAGGAAAGGCAAGATTTTTGCCATCTAATCGCTCAAATCCAGTCAGGAACATAACTCCATTAATCCAGCCTTCAGAGCCACCCATCTTTGATGATGACGAACCTTTGGGTCTTCTTCCCCTTCCTCCTTCACCACAGAATAGCGGAAAAGGCAGAACAATAAAAATCAAGACATACCCAGAAATTCCTTCTGTTTCAAGGTTCAATTCTTTGGATAAATTCACACTCCTCGTCCATGTTAGTGCACCTTCTTCATTTCCTGGTCAAAACCCACACCGTGCACCTGTTGACCTCGTCACAGTTCTTGACATCAGCGGCAGCATGGCGGGCACCAAGCTTGCACTCCTTAAGAGAGCCATGGGTTTTGTGATACAGAACCTGGGTCCCGCCGACAGGCTTGCGGTCGTTGCCTTCTCTTCAACAGCCAAACGCCTTTTCCCGCTCCGTAGGATGTCTGGAACGGGACAGCAACATGCACTTCAAGCCGTCAACTCATTGGTCGCGAATGGCGGGACGAATACTGCTGAAGGCTTAAGAAAGGGGACCAAAATAATGGAGGACCGAAGAAGCAAAAACCCAGTTTCTAGTATTATATTGTTATCTGATGGCCAAGACACATATGGCAGGAGCCAGCAGTATTCAACTTCCAGAGTAATCCCTGTACATACTTTTGGGTTTGGTGGGGACCACGATGCTTCCTCAATGCATTCCATTGCGGAGGTATCTGGAGGGACATTTTCTTTCATCGAGACGGAAAGTGTTATCCAGGATGCCTTTGCTCAGTGCATTGGAGGACTTCTGAGTGTTGTTGTAAAAGAGCTCCGTTTGGGTATTGAGTGTGTTCACCCGGGAGTCCTTCTCAGATCTGTAAAAGCAGGCAGTTACCCAAGCAGCATCTTTTCTGGTGGAAGAGTGGGATCTATTGACGTTGGGGATCTATACGCTGATGAGGAGAGAGACTTTCTGATTGATGTCAATGTCCCCATCGAACAACACGAGACTTCACTATTAAAGGTGAGTTGCGAGTACAAAGAGCCATTAACAAAAGAAAGAATAAATTTTGGAAGTGAAGTGGTTAGCATAAGGAGACCTGAAGAAGTGTCGAGCGAAACGGACGTGTCAATAGAAGTGGACAGGCAAAAGAACAGGCTTGGAGCAGCCGAGGCAATGGCTGAAGCAAGGAGTGCCGCCGAGAAAGGTGACCTGGTGGGAGCAACTTCCGTTCTCGATAACTGCAGAAGGGCATTATCAGAATCTGTGTCTGGAAAGTCTCCAGATGACCGGCTATGTCTGGCACTCGATGCCGAGCTCAATGAGATGCAAGAGAGGCTCACGAGCCGGCATATGTACGAAGCATCGGGGAGAGCGTACATTCTGTCGGGGATGAGCTCGCATTCTTGGCAGAGGGCAACTGCACGTGGTGATTCTACTGATATGTCCAGTCTGATTCAGGCTTACCAAACCCCTTCCATGGTTGAAATGGTTACCACCTCTCGGGCTACGTTACTAGGGAGCCCATCTGCTCGCAGGCTTGTTCGTCCAGTTCCAGTTTGGGCCCCGAGGTATCAACCAAAGCACAGATAACATTGGCTTCATGATGGAAATATCATATCACCTTCTACTTGTGTGTAGTTTGTTTTTTAATGTCTGGTGTCTGGGTAAGTAAGTATGTGAACAGGAGTTGGAAATTTTGGGGGATATGCAATAATGAAGTTAAACGTGGCAGTTAGGTAATAATTTCATTCATTTCTTCTTATTAATACTGGGGTAAATGTACATACAAGATTACTAGGAGAGAGGTCCGAGAGCATCTTTGAGGAAAGATCTGCAAAAAGCCTTCATGCTTCTGTAGTGTGTATAACTATATTTTTGTGAAAAATAATTTATAATTCCACAAGCCAAATGACAGGCCCAAAGAATGTCTGCATTTTCATTTCCAGTATTTAGCAATTGGTTGTTGATAAACAATGTGAAATTTCAAAATATAATTTTTTTGGCTAGGCTTCCTAACTGTATTATAGTATTTGTTTTATGTTATCGTCAACATTCTGGGATACGATTTGAAAATGTGCACAAAGTACTTGACATTACTGGACATTAATATGACAATATTTATGTCACAGTTGGCATTAATATGACAAATGATCAAGACCAGTAGCTCCTGTCCAAACCGCCGTCCAAACTCTGTAGTTTGGGGTGGTTCTCAATGAAATTTATTGATGAATTTTTTTGAGGATGTTCCTCATCAAGTCTAGTTTATCCACAAAAAATTTCAGCTCAAAATTCGATCGGGAAGACAGTCAAATAAGTTTTTGAAGTTGACTGTGTTTTCTACGTATAATTATGCGCAGTTAACTTCAAAAACTTATTTGAATGTCTTTCTGATCGAATTTTGAGCTGAAAAAATTTGTGGATAAACTAGACTTGATGAAGAACATGCTCAAAAGACCAATTTACATTAATCTATGGTCAGAGTTCGGACTTTGGACTATCGAGCAATCGGTCCATTCACAATAATCAATGCATTCCTTTACAAGGATAATTGAATGAGTGGAAGAACTATGGCGCCTTGACTTCAGACAGGGAACAAGCGGGAACTATCAAGCAAGAGACGAGGAAGTTCACTCCCTCTTCCCACCTAGTCTGTCGATCCAGTGGTATAATAACCACATCTTGGCCCTAGCGGGAGTGAAGGGTTCCCTTTCGTCAGTGAGGTTGGATGTAATTAAGGCTAGGTTACTTAACAACGACCCAATCCCTCCTTATTAATAGGGGCATTTCTATCGAGTAGTCACTCATTCTGTACTGACTCGGAAATCAACCCGATTCCGTCTTCGATAGTTCTGGGAAGAGATAGAAGGGGAAGTTGAATTCCCTAACCTCATGAGTGGAGGAGGAAGGAAAGGTATTGAGAGAGAGATCGCCCTATTCTGGTATCCCTTTAGGCCTGTTAGCTTTTAGGCTCGCTATCCGGGCAGAGAAAATAAATGGTTTGAACTGGCTTGATGGAGAAGTAAACTAATAAGCTTTTGCCCGGCCGAGATAAATACATCTCTCCTTCTAACTACTAGATCAACCACTGATGGCTAGCAACTTGATGGAGAGGAGTCCAACAGTATGAGCTTCTCTCTTTGCAATTGACTTGTTTAGTTCGTTTGGAGTGGGTGGGGGATTGGTAGAACTTCAAGTCCCTTAGCTCTTTAGAACTTCAAGTCATTAGCCTCTTTAGAGAGTTTGACTTTGAAAGAAGCAACTTTCACCTTGAAAGCCACTTTTATTCTTCCCCTATTATCTATTTTATATTAGAATGTTATTCCCAAACGTCGGAGTTCGAACGGCGGTTCGGACAGGAGCTAATGGACCTGATCATTTCTCTTCTAATGTTGTAGTAACTAGTAATTACTCGTACTTTAAGCAGGAAAAATATAGTATATATATACTCTGTATGTAATACTCATATTTTGAAATTTAGAACTTAATACATATTAGTAGTTTCTAATAATTTTATCTTAATATACAATACTCATTCTATGTTTTTACTTCATGTATGTCCACCGGTCAGCTATTTAGAATGATATTATTGAAAGAACAAGTTGTAGTTTTTTTTTTACATCTATTCAAATTTTCAAAATCTGAATTTTCAAATTTGTACATCTATTCATTTTCAATCACAAATCTACTTATTTATTAATTTTGTATCTAATTTTTTGCTCAACACCTACCTCACCAAACATGTCATTAATAGTTTTAGGGTCTGTTTGCAACCTATTAAAAAAAGTGCTTTTAACTTTTTTTTAAGAAAAAAGCACTTATTTTACCAAACACTACCAACTTTTACTTTCGCGGCTTCCGTGTAGAATCTACTTTTTACTTTTTCTATTACACAAAAAGCACTTATTTTACAAAACACTACCAACTTTTACTATTAATCACTTTTTCCCCAAAAGTGCTTTTATTTAAGCAGAAGTGGTTGCAAACAAAACCTTAGCTTTGAAGATGTGACTTTTTTGACTTTCAACTTATCTTTAACTATCTTGACCTAATGTGTACCATTGCATGGAGAAGCTAAAACCAACACGTTTAGAAGTTGATTGATCACATTAAAGCACGCATGTGGATATCCCAAGGATAAGCAGTATGACCAATTTGACAAAGCATCCAATTAAATTTGACTTATCCCACCATTCACCAATTAGAAATTAGTCCAAGAACCCACTGTGGGCATTTAAAAATAATTTTATTCCGTGGTTTAAACCCACCACAAATAACGCATCAAATGTCATAGCACACCTAAAACAAGGCTGGCGACACCTTTTTGGAAGGGCAACCATCTGTACAATATAACTGTATTTAGTAGGTTTGAACAAAAAAACTACTCCCTCCATGTCTTAAATTACTGGATGTTTTTAAGAATTCTTCAAATATTAAAAACATTTCAAGAAGACTGATTTACTTAGGGATTGTACTTGGTAGCATGGAAATATGGAGCGGGAAGCAGAAAATAGGAAATTAGAGATGCGGGAAACGAGAGTTTTATCTTTTAAGAAAAAAGTATATCAGAACAGGTATGAAGTAGTACTAAACTACTGATCAAATTAACGGAGCGAGAGTTTATCTCTCTAAAACTTCGTTCCTCCTGGGGCATTCACGCCGCTAGGGTTAAGCGCCTCCGCCGATAGGGCGGTTTGGATTCTGATTTTGGTTGTTGTCGGCCGGAGATCGTGTTGTGCAGGTAGGTTGTGAGCTTTTCGCTCGACTTCTATTCCGGAGCTCGCATCGCGGCAGGGGTGGACAGAGGTAGGGCGACGGAAGTCGACGGATGGAAGGGCTGGTGGATTCTTACAGGAAGATGGCTATGCGGGATCAGGAGAGCGAATTGAATTTTGATGGGGATCTGGCAGAGGAAGTTGCTGAAGAACAGGAACTACCCAGATTTCCGGCAGTGGGAGTGGTCATTACGGATCGGAAGATTAAACTTTCTGGCTTTCAGGAATTAATGACTTCACTGTGAAAACCTGTGAAAGGTATGACGATCAAAGAGATCGGCGAACGCAGGTATTTGCTGAATTTTAATCATGTTCTTGATATGAATCGAGTCATTGAGGAAGGTCCTTGGTTGTATGAACGAGATTTAATCCTGATGAAAGCTGTTCAGCCTGATGATATTCCTGAATCTATGAATTTGTTTGAGGCTAACTTTTGGGTACAGGTTCATAATGCCCCTATAAAGTATAGAAATTTAAGATCTGCTAGAAGAATTGGTAATTATATAGGCTCTTTCATAAAATATGAGATGAGTGATTTTGATGGAAAGCAGAGTTCTTATTTGAGAATAAGGGTGAGTATGGATGTTCGCCAACCCCTGAAAAGGGGCACAAATCTAACACAGGATGGCATAAAACATTGGGTTGACTTTAAATTTGAAAAGTTGCCCAGCTTCTGTTTTATTTGTGGTATTATTGGACATTCTGATAAATTCTGTCCCTTAAAGTATGAGGAAGGTTTTATAGCTGAAAAACTCTACGGAGTGGGTCTTTGAGCAAGTGGCAGAGTGAAGACCAGCCCTACAGGGTTTAATAAATGGCTGTCTGATGGGGGCTCTAGCTTAGAGGGTTACGGAGGCCAGAGAAAGCTTGATCAAGGGGGAGAGCACACGGCGGAGTCCAAGACTTGCAGAGATCCACTGACTGAGAACATGGAAAAGGAAGATCCATATGGGGATCTGAAAAGAAGACGTACGTGGGAAGACCAGGAGAAGGAAGGCTTGATGGGAGAGGAGATGGCTCTTGATGGGTCAAAAAATGGGAAAGGGGCGGGTCAGCTATCCTAGACCCGCCGAGAACTTTCTGGCTGGTGGTGAAGATGAATTTTGGTTTTGGTGTCTTTTCAGTTCTCTGTTTTGGTTTTTGTGATTCCAGCTACTTTATGTTTTGTTGTTTTTGTTCTTTTATTTACTGTAAGACTTTGGCATTAGGGCGGGGGGAGGAAGTTTCTGCGGTAACCGTCTTAAGCTCTTTATTGCCCACCATTGGTCTAGCGAACTATACTGCTTGTATACAGGTGGATAGCTCTCAGTCTCGGCCACAGGCGGATGGTTATTTGCGGTTTTTCTCTAGTTTGTTACCCTTGCTGAATGCTATTTCTATGAATTAAGACTTCTTCGAGCAAAAAAAAAAAAGAAAAAAGTATATTAAACGTGTCGAAAACCCGTCATTATAACGCGGTGGAGCTGGTAACTGTGAAAACTAACACATGTGAACAATAATTTGTTTTGTTTCACTAGTAGGGTAATGCAACTTGCATACATAAATGTAACTCACGTTGATGAGAAAAGTAATTGCACATCAGCCGAAATGTAACTTGTCCAATGCAGAGTATAACGAATAAAACATTAAATTCAATGTAAACAGTGAATATGTATTGTTTTTAATATCAGAGTCATAAAAATGATTTAAAAATTACCATTTCTATTTCAATAACACGAGTTTATTTTGTGATGTAACGGCAAATGTAACTCGCGTTGATGAAAAGTGTGACTTATGTGTCTGTAAAATATACCTTGTTTAGGCAATCCAAATATGACCCGCACATAAGAAGATGTAACTCGCGCATAAAAAGATGTAATTAGAGTATAAGAAGATGTAACTCGTGCATAAGAAATTTTAACTCCATGTACTATCAAATGTAAAAAAAAAAAACTTTCAAATGTAACTTCATGAATCGTGGATAATTGTAATTCACACATATGGAAATGTGAACCGCATATATGAAAATGCAATCTCATGTCTTATCAATTAAAAAATGAAATAAACAAACTCAATTCCTTAAAACCCACTAAAACATACGTAGTATTACGTATAAAAGAGATAAAAAATATATTATAGAAAAAAAGTGAATGAATGGAAAAAAAAATTAGAAAAATGTGTATGAATATAAAAAATATTACAGAAAATAAATAGTGTATGAATATAGAAAAATAGATTAATAATTCTTGTTTTGAAAATATAATTTTTTTGTTATGAGTTGGTAAAGAATAAAAAAAGATTGATTTGTAATTAAAGTTGAAGATAAAAAAAAAAGTAAAATTGAAATTAATATTTTCATGTTTTGGTGGAGAAGGAGACGAAAATTGAAGTAAAGGAAAAAAAGTCTTTTTTTAAATTGGTGTAAACATGGTTCCTAGGGCACGATGTCTATGGTTTGTTTTGCCGGCGGTATCTGGATGCATCATGCATAGGCGGCTTTGGGGCCAGTTGGTCCAAACAGCTGCCTTGGGCCTCACCCTGCTAAGGGGTCTCAAAAAATAGTACTCCGTATTAGGTATAAGTAGTAATAACCATCGGCGGACTTGGTCAGTGGCTACTTCACCGAATAGGAATCGGCAGCTCCAACCAGCCACAGGATTACCGACTTCACAGTTCTCATTCAACATTCCAATGAGCGACCGCAAAGACTGGCCACCATCCGTATGCCTTGCCCAATCCTCTAAGTCTCTTAATAGTCTGTTGTCTGTGAATCCATATCTGTGTATCTTATTTATGTTTCTCATATTTTCTCTCATTCCTTAGTTTCTGCATTTCTATCTAGAAGTTTGACATTTAATTAATAAAAGGGGTTAGGTCATGAATATTACTAATTAACAAAATTTGGACAAATATATAAGATATCTTTCCACGGTTACCAAAAAAGAGATCCCAACTATAGTTACCATTTTTCAAAAACATGATATAGCAGGTCAATGTTAAATGTGAACTATCTATCAACTTTAAATAATCTCAATTTTTTTATCATTAAATAATCTCAATTATAGTTGATCTTTTTTATTAATCACAATTATCAACTCTAAATTTTCAAAAGATATAGAAATACTTTCAAAAATTTCCAAACTAAATGTTTTTAAACATGTATACACAACTACAAAAATTATGCAAATGTACCAAACCTGTGTGGGAGGAAATTATCAATTATGCCCTTGCCTAAATAATTAGAATAATTCTTGGTGTACACCCTAGGTTACACCCTGGGGTACACCCTAATTATTTGTCATTCACACAGGCAAAAAACGCACAAATACTGACACTTTCGGTAAAACTGTCGGTGTGAAGAAAATTAGTTTTCAGATGTGTCAGGCTGGTTGCACGGAAACCAATGTCGGTGTACACAGACTAGTTGTTGGTGTAGACAAAAAAGTGCCGGTGTGAACAGTTTTGGTTTGCAAGTCTGCCAGAGGGTTGTAAAACCGGTATAAGTGTAAACCAACATTAGTTGTCTGTGTAGAAAAAGTGTCTGTACATGTACAATTTTCGTTTTATGCACACCGACATTGGTTTGCTTTAAGTGTCTGTGCACACAGACGAAAATTGTACATGTACAGACACTTTTTCTACACAGACAACTAATGCCTGTGTACACCAACACTGATTTTTGAACCCCCTGACAGGCTTGCAAACCAAATTTGTTCACACCGGCACTTTTTTGTCTACACCGACAACTAGTTTCTGTGTACACCGTCAACTAGTTTCTGTGTACACCGACAACAAGTGTTTGTGCGACATTGGTTTCCGTGAAACCAGCCTAGCAGATCTAAAAACTAATTTAATTCACACCGACAATTTTATCAAAAGTGTCTGTATTTGTGCATTTTTATCTGTGTGAATGACAAATAATTAAGGTGTACCCCGGGATGTAACACGGGGTGTACACCAAGAATTTTCCAAATAATTACCGTGTGTAATATGCACCAAACCTACGTAACATTCTTCCACCAATTAAATTTGTATTGCCTACGTAACATGCTTACGTAACTTTCTTCTACCAAAATTGACTTTTATATTCACCCACCAATTAAATTTCTACCCATCATCTGTTATAGTTACTAGTTCGATCGATTACAATTATCCGCCCGATCAGTTCTAGTTTTACACGTCCGATCAGTTACAGTCACTCACCTGACAAATTATAGTTCAGTGTTGTCAGTTACAGTTATCTGAACTGTCCTCTAGTTACAATTACCCAACCTGTTCAGTTACAATTGCCCTGACCCTACCGGTGGGCGTATCTCAACTGGTAGCGAGGGAGTGCCACAAGGGTTAGGTCTCGGATTCGATCCCGGCAACTGCGATAAGGGGTTACTATGCTGAATAATGCATAAGGCCTCTGCAAGTACCGGGGACAGAGCCCCACTCTCTATCTGTCAGGTTGTGATTATAGTCCAACTTACATCCTCCCATCGTTTTGTCCGGTCGGTGTTGGGGGGCCCTCAGGGATGGGGTGTCATCCTTTGTTTTTTTACAATTACCCCGACCCTTCTTCAAGTTACAGTTACCCGACCCATCCAGTTACAATTATCCCGACCCATCTTCCAGTTACAGTTACCCTGACCCGTCGTCCAGTTACAGTTACCCGACCGGTCGTCAAGTTACAGTTACCTGACTCGTCGTCCAGTTACAGTTACACGACCCGTCCAGTTACACTTACCCGACTCTTCAGTTACAATTACCTAATTCAACATGTTACAGTTGTCAATGTCCGTCCATCCAGTGACCAACGTCTGCCTGTTCACTGGCCGACTTCCGCCCACCTAGTGACCAAGCACTTCCATTCAGTTATAATTATCCAACCCAACCAATTACCCAACCCCAGCCACCGCCGACGACCAGCGCCGACAACCACCGCCTCTGGCGACTGTCGCCGCCGAGCACATCCCAACCCCCATCTCACCCAGCCCCTCCCCTACCTCACCCAACCCCCTACCTCACCACAGCTCCCTAAATTCCTGAATTTTTAGATGTTAAGTACTCCTTATGTTATTACAGATTTCGCACTTTAAAAGGATGTAATATTCTTTTTAATATTACAAGTCATATATAGTGCACTTGGAATATGCTTTTTCCATATGACTTTTTTTTTAATTTATCTGATTTTCAATATGATCTAGGCATAGTAAATTATTTTTTTATTTTTTCGTCTATGGCCTCGGAAATTCTCAAGCCGCCCCTATCTCGGCGTTTGTTGGGTTGCGCCATCTTTGAAAGAAATCTATATATTAAGTGAGTTAAGTCACTTTCCCGCTCACGTATAGGGGTGTTTTTGTAACTGCCTGCTATTTCTATTAAGCTCAGCTGTGAAATCTTCTTACCCTTCCTAGTTCCTACGGTGCTACATCTTCATCTCTTTTCCTTCCCACTTATTCTCGATTCTTTCTCTTCTCCTGAGTACGCTTGAATACAATTTTCAAAAAATGAAAAACCTCTTCATCTCTTCTCCTTCCCTGGACTCTAGAGTATTATTCTCAATATTAAAAATTGATGCTAATCAATTTCGTAGATAAAGTTTCACTTGCTTTCTCTCACGGCATGGAGAGTATCTCTTTGCACACTGCATAATTCCTTCTTATAGAGTATATCTAAAGAAAGTAAATTTAAAAATAATTAGTTCTATCATCTGTACAATAAAGAAATAAAAATCCAAACCACAAACCAGATAGAATTATCAAATATGTGTGCATTCGAAGAGACTAACATTTAAAAAGGACCAGAGAAAGATGTTGATCTGTTATAGGACTTTAATATGCGGACCAAAATCAGCATCAAATCTATTTAATGTCACAAATATTTTCAGAAATTTTTCAGTTGCTTAAAGTAGAAAATCATGTGTAATGATGTTATCAAATGTTTTTTTTTTCCAGAAATTTTCAGTTGAGGAATAATGATGCACTTAATAGAAGAATACTCTACTTCATCTTTTAGCAGAAGGATACTTTTTAGAATGATACACTTAACGGCAGTCTAACTCTTTATTTTTAGGAAAAATTCACATAAATAATCCCAACTATTAGCGTTATTCCATTATTAATCCCATCTATTTGAAATTCTAAAATAATCCCAAGTTCACGTGTGACCTTCTCAGATTGATCTCATGCTACCTGAAACCTATTGAACCGGTATAAAACTTTAAAAAAGGCAAAAAGGAAAAAAAAAGTAATATGTGGATGGCTGAAATTAAAGAACAGATAGTTCATCTGCTTCTTTGGTCTACGTCGGACGACGAACAGAGAAGGAGATGGCACAGGTGGTGGCTTGACCAAAACCTATTGTCGCCCGCTCCTTATTTGATTCGAATAAAAGTCTTACACTCTCTTCGTTTTTCTCTTCACTCAACTTGAAATCTCCAATGGCCGGTGGCTTGACCAAAACCTTGTGACAGCAAG